CCTCCTTAAACTACATGGAATCTTAGGTTATCAACTCTCTGATACCCAAACAAGTTGAATAGGCCTATAATTGCATTGATTCTATCCATGTAAATTTGTAATGTATGGTAAACTCTGTCATTCTTTCTTTGTAAGTAAATGATTTTTTGCCCAGAAACATGCTCCCTCTAACGACGACAAGCCCAAAAGCTAACTAAATAAATCAAACACTTAAAAAAATAAAAGCAAGAGCCAAACAGTCAGTCAACGATGATATCTCTGTAATAATTTTAGGACCTAAGATAGGTCCAAGGTTTTTGGTGGTAATGGTTGTCGTTTGGTGGTTGACGTTTTCGATCTTGTTGAAAACGTTTAACCTCCGAAACCGTACAGGGTGCGTCCCTGGCGCTTGAGAGCGTAGACGACGTCCATGCGGTGACGGTCTTCCTCTTGGCGTGCTCGGTGTATGTGACGGCGTCACGGATCACGTTCTCGAGGAATACCTTGAGGACACCACGGGTTTCTTCGTAGATGAGACCAGAGATACGCTTGACACCTCCACGACGGGCAAGACGACGGATGGCAGGCTTGGTGATACCCTGGATGTTATCACGCAACACCTTGCGATGACGCTTGGCGCCCCCCTTTCCGAGACCCTTTCCGCCCTTTCCACGTCCAGTCATGGTAGCGACTTGTCTTGCTGCGAGTAAACGAGAAGATGATCCGCTTTTTTTTTTTTTTTTTTTTTTTTTTTTTTTTTTTTTTTTTTTTTTTTTTTTTTTTTTTTTTTTTTTTTTTTTTTTTGTCATTTACTCTGACACGGCCCCTACCCCTAGCCCCAAAAACCTTGATTTTCATTAGTAAACCCAACAAAACCTTGATTTCACCAACAAAAACCTTGATTTTCATTAGTAAATATACCAAAAACCTTGATTTTCATTTGTAAATAAACAAAGGATTTAAAGTGTTAAAAGATTCAAACCAAAATTTCTTATTGTCATTTGTAAATAAACAAAGATTTGATTTATTGATTTAAAGTGTTAAAACAAACCTTGACTGTCATATGTAAATAAACAAAGATTGGTTTATAAATTCATCTTGGTGGTGGAAAGATGAATAAGTCTTGAGGTGTATTCTCTAAGAGTCTTTTGGCGAACTCTTGTGCTGATGAGGTTGCAAGGGCGATGTCATCTAGTTGTGTAAGTTGGAACTCAGCTGGTCGAATGTGTTCAATTATTTTGCAGCTTAGAAGGTAGTGTAATAGAGGTTCGGTGGTCTCTTGTTGACAGTAGGTGCATTCTCTGAGAACTCTCTCTGCAATCTCCCAGTTACATTTGTATCCTAAACGAAGGCGGTGAATTATGACAACTTGTTCACGAGGCATGGTGTTGGTGATGTTCACGCGTTGATAGTTAGTCACTGTCTTATACCATGATGCAGAATAAGACCCTTTATTGACGCATGCTAAATGTTGATTGATGATTTCTCGCTGAAAATTTTGTCTTATTGTCTTCTTAATTTGGCTGGAGCTGGGTGGGATGTGAAAGTTGATATATTGGAATAGTGTCGCTTCCGAGGCCGCTCTGTCTGCAATTTCATTCCCTATTATTCCAATGTGACTAGGTATCCAATTTAAAATTACTTGTGATCCTTTCTTATGAAGAACTTGGATCTTATAGAGGAGAGTGGTCATGAGCATTATATTTTCATCAGGAGACTTGTAGAGGGCTTGAATTGCTGAGAGAGAGTCCGTATAAATATTTATCTCTTTGTGATTGGTGGAGATTGCTAGGGTGAGAGCTTTGTCTATTGCAAATAGTTCAGTCTGGAGAGTTGAACAATAATCCGAAAGTCTCCAACTAGATGTTTGAAAAGTGCAGTGAATTGATGCTCCAGAGTGACCTGATATCTGATTAACAGAACCATCTGTAAAAATAGCTAATTGGTCTTTCGCTGCTTTACTGTTAACTTGGATTGCAATCTTGTTTAATATTTCCTGGCTGCAGTTAACTTTCTTCTTAGGAAGTCTCAGTATATTTGTTCGCAGGATTAATGGATTCCATGGAGGCTCTGCTTTGAAAAGTGGATGTCTTTGTGTTGGAGTCCTGTGTACTAGTTGATGGCTTATACCAGACGCCTTAATTGCTAAGACCACTTGAAAATGCCACCCTGTACTGAGAATTGTGTCAATCGGTCTGGTTAATAAGGTTTGGATCCTTTGTTTGAAGGGGAGAGGCTTGGTGGAGGAGAGACTTTTGGCCATGTAGGATGAGGTGATTTGAAGTGTTCGGAGTCTGAGGGAACAAAGATTAGTCTCAATTCTAAGGTTTTCAAGCCTTGTCCAGCGAGGAGCACCTAGAATTATCCTCATAGCTTCGTTTTGTATTTTTTCAAGTTTTATTAGGAGATCAGATGACAGGGTTAAAAGTGAGAGAGCGGAGAATCTATTATTGATCTGATGGCTTGAGTATAGAAAGTGCGTAGAATTTTGTATCCTGCTCCTATGGTGGATGTTAATTTTCTCATTGCTAGAATTCTGGATTGTATTCTTTGCTTGAGGTAGTCCAACTGATCTTTTTCATGATTTCTTTCTGAGAAAAAGTGTCCTAGGCATTTAGCTTTCTCTACCCAGTCAATGTTTTGGCCTTGGATTGTAAGTAGATGAAAGGGTCTAGATGGACCGATGTTTAATCCTGACGATTTGGACGGGTTAATTTTTAGTCCAAGGGAAGTACAGGCTTGGGTTATTAGATCTAAAGCGTGTTGAGCGTGTAGTAGTTGATGTGGACCTGTGGTTATCAATTGCAGGTCATCTGCATAGCTCAGTAAGGTGGTGTTGTTTCGAAAAGGAAGGTTGACAAGTTTTTCAATCAGTAGATTAAATAAAGTTGGACTGAGGATGCCTCCCTGAGGTGTACCTTTTTCAAAAATAAGGGTATTTGATAGGTGTCCTTGGAATATCACTGTAGCTTTTCTTTGTGTAAAATAGTCTGTAATCCAGGCCAGAAGATGTCCTTTCACTCCTTTTTCCGCTAGAATTGTTGAAATTATTATAGGGTCCGCAAGCTCAAAGGCTTTTTCCAGGTCAAGGAAAACTAAAGTGGCCTTGCCTTGATCCAGCATTGATCTTAAAGTAGCAATATTGTCTGAGGTACCAGTATTCTTTTTGAAGGCAAAAAGGTTATGGTGAAGATCTGGGAGTTTATACAGCATTCTTTTTAGAATGATTCTTTCAAGGGTTTTACCCAAGCAGCTAAGTAGTGAAATTGGTCTGAAAGACTTGGGATCGTTGTTTTTTGGTATGGGTTTTATTATGGCACTTTTCCAGGCAGACGGTACTTTTCTTTCTTTATAAGATTTATTGTATAGATGAAGTAAGAAATCCATTCCTTTGGGTCCTAAGTGCTTCATCATCATGCCATATATATTTTATCATCCTGGAGCTGAGAGATTTTGTATATATAATGGCTTTATTGATTTCTGCATGGTAATGGTCAGTATCATCTGAATCTTCGATTGCGTTTTCTATTATGTGCAGTTGTAGTGGTCTGTTTATTGCCAAGGCTTCCACAGTATTTTGGTCTAAGTTACTGGAAGACGATCTGGTAGCAAACTGATTTATTAGTTTGTTGGCTTCACCTTGAGGATCAGGATGTGCCGGGATTCGATTAGTTCTATAGCAGCCAGTGGCTTTGCGGAGATGGCTCCAAATATCTTTAATCTTTGTGTGGGAATTTAAAGTTTCGCACCAGGCAAGCCATTTTTCAGTTCGTATATCCCATAGCTCTCTTTTTACGTGTCTTAAGGTGTCTCGATACAAGTCGAGATTACCCTTGGAGGGGAACTTTGATAAGTTTTTCTTAGTTATATTCACTCTGTGATGTAGTTCAGCGACTCTGTTACTGTAATACCAGTGATCCTGGTGCTCTTTGGAAAAGGGTTTACATAATGGTATCGCGGAGTTGGCAGCTTCTGTGATTGCTGTTTTGAAGTCTTCTTCTAGTTTATCAAGTTTTGTCACCAATTTGATAGGAAGAAGCCCATATTTCAATGAGTTTTTGGAATCTACCCCAGTTTGCTTTGTGCGTATTCCATTTTGGTTGGTAAGGTGGGGAGTTCATCCTAGGTATTTCTATAGTAATGATTAAGGCTGAATGGTCGCTGTTTAGGTGCTCGTGAAAGGAGGAAAAGGGAGTCCTTAAAAAAAGGTAGGTGATTCCTTAATCCACCTATGTTCCATTGCAATATTTTAATTTGTTTGTTCTTAGTATCCATAGTCGTTTTTGTTATTGTTCTTAGTTCTGTTGTTTGTAGGAGAAGGAATTTCTATTCTTGGAGGAGAAGTTCCGGCTAAGCTTTCATTTTGACTACTGTGTGCAAATATTTCTAGATTAGGATGTTTTCTTTTTAGTTGTTCCAGAGGTTCCTCTGTAAATTCTACTACATCAACCTCTGAGAGAGAGAATGATGCTTCCGGTGAGGAAGGATTTAAATCTAAGGAGGGTACTTGGGTCTTGATAATGTTTGGTAGATTTGTCATTATCGAATTAAAATTGCTGATCAGTTGGACCAAACGATTAATCATTTGGTTGGCTTGTTCCATTATTCGTTCTAATGAGGAAGTAAGAGTATCAATATTCTTTGAGTAGGTTTCTGAGGGAGGTGCAACGGAAGGAGTACTCTGTGAATCTGAAGGTCTTTCTTGGATGGGGTGTATTGTCTCTGTCGAAGAATTTGTGACTACTTTTGAGTATAGTCTATTTGAGTTTGTAATTTTCTTTGTAAAATTCTTCGAGGCAACTGGTGTCCGGTTCTGATCAGGATTCCCATTGTAAATTGATTGGGATTTTGGTGGAATTGAACTTGGGACAAAGTCAGGTTTATTTGGCTTTTGTAGTCTAATATGCCTTTCAGGGCATTTGAGGGACCAGGCATGGTGATGGCTCTGGCAGTTTGGGCATTTTGCCTGAACATTTTCTCCTTTTTTATACTTTTCTAAACATTGGCTAGTATCATGTAGTTTGGAGCAGATGGCACACCTAGCAGGAGCTCTACATTGTTCTTTGTGGTGTCCGAATCTTTGGCATTTAAAACATCTGAGAGGCTCAGGTATGTAGGTTCTGGTTTTAAATGAACCTAGATTTCTGATTTCAAAGGTATTTGGAATTTCTCCCTTGACAGAGAGTAAAATCTGTCTTGTTTCCAATTTTGTTAATCGTGATACAAGTCTCTTTGCCGAGGTGATATTAGGGATATCTAGCAGAATATCCACCGGAAATTCCATAGGAAATCCTACCAGGATTGTTTTCTTGATTTCCTCTTCCGGAATGAGTCTCTCCAAATCAACTAACTTGTTGGTGGAGAGGAGTTTTACTGAAAAGAGGAATTTTGCAGTGTCGACTGTTTTTGGTGTTAATAAGAAGGTACTCCTTTGTGTTACCTTGGTGGCAACTGCAAGGTCTTTCTTTTCTTTTTCCAGGGCTACCAGTGCACTGTATGCAGTGGGAAAATCTGTATTTGGTTTAAGAACAAAATTTCATTTGTTTAAAATTTCAAAGTCAGGAGAGTTGTCTGTTTCAGGTGGCATATTTGGTGCCAAATCATGATGGTCCATGGGTTCAAGTTCTTCAGAGAACACGTTCATCTGTGTTTCCGAGTTTTCTGCATTTACTTTCGCTTTCTTTGAGGGAGCGGAGTCTTTTGTATTAGATACTGATGCAATTTCTTCCTCCTCTGAGGTAGAGTTGAAGCTAATCGACTTCTTACGCTTGTCCTTTGACAAGGCAGCATTTTTAATTTCTGTTGTTATGTCTATTTCTACATCTTGTAGGGTATCAGAGTTAGTTGGTTCACTTTTAGTCAATTTCTTTTCCATAGTTGCATTGGATGATGTTTCAGAATTCCTTCTCTCTTCTGGCCTCACCATAGGAGAGTTGGTGTTTTTCTTCTTTTTTTCCTTTGATTTCATTTTCTAAGAGAGCCTAATCCTACCTATAACCGGTTTTACTAACCTAGTGCGGGCTGTCTCTGACTCGTCGTTATGGTCAACAGCGTTTCCGCTACCGGATAAGTCTGTATGTAAAGAGAAATAAACCCTTCTCACTGGCTTAAAGCAGTCCTACCTAAGGACCCCCCTCGTGGCACTGCCCTCGGGGTTCACCTTCACCAGTGAGGGGACTCTAATAAACGGCTCACAACCTAGACTGACAACCTAATAACAACCTGACATACAACCTGATAACCTAACAACATCTCGTTGTTTGATTCTGCTAACTCTAGCTAGCTATGGAAGGCTCTTCTATTTCTATCTCTAGCTGGTCCTGAAAAGCTCTTCTATTTCTATCTCTAGCTGGATCTGGAAAGCTCTTCTATCTTTATTCCTAGCTAGTTCTGTAGAGTTGATAATAAAGTCTTCCGGTTAGGTAAACGGCAGCGCCAACATCGGCTTCTCGGCGTATTTGCCAGGGTAATAAACGTAACCTGCAACTTTATTGCCTTGGTAAACGAGACACCCAGCACTGCTGGATAGGCGTAGTTACCCTCGGAGACAGTTGCTTCTTCTTACTTGGCAAGAACCTAACCTTGAAGAGAGAGGATCCGCACTTTTTTTTTTTTTTTTTTTTTTTTTTTTTTTTTTTTTTTTTTTTTTTTTTTTTTTTTTTTTTTTTATTTGTCAGGCATTTACTCTGACACGGGTTAAGCCCTAGGCTACCCATAAGTGATTTATTTTTAAAAAGCTACAAAAACCTTGATTTCATTAGTAAATATACAAAGATTTGATTATTGATTTACAGAGTTACAAAAACCTTGATTTTCATTAGTAAATATACAAAGATTTGATTATTGATTTACAGTGTTACAAAAACCTTGATTTTCATTTGTAAATATACAAAGATTTGATTTACTGATTTAAAGTGTTACAAAAAACCTTGATTTTCATTTGTAAATATACAAAAATTTGATTTATTGATTTAAAGTGTTACAAAATTTCTTCATTGTCATTTGTAAATAAACAAAGATTTGATTTATTGATTTAAAGTGTTAAAACAAACCTTGACTGTCATATGTAAATAAACAAAGATTGGTTTATAAATTCATCTTGGTGGTGGAAAGATGAATAAGTCTTGAGGTGTATTCTCTAAGAGTCTTTTGGCGAACTCTTGTGCTGATGAGGTTGCAAGGGCGATGTCATCTAGTTGTGTAAGTTGGAACTCAGCTGGTCGAATGTGTTCAATTATTTTGCAGCTTAGAAGGTAGTGTAATAGAGGTTCGGTGGTCTCTTGTTGACAGTAGGTGCATTCTCTGAGAACTCTCTCTGCAATCTCCCAGTTACATTTGTATCCTAAACGAAGGCGGTGAATTATGACAACT